TAGTGAGAACAGTACTGTAATTCCTTATAAAAAGCTTTAAGAAACTTTCTCTCTATATAATCTGATAGAGAAAAGAATGCTCTATTTTTCTATGTTATTTGATCATATTTCAATTAATATCATAATAATAAAATTTCGATAAGACGTAGTTTTCTAATATATGGGATGATTATACGAATGTCTATTTTTTGGGTATTTTTTGAATTACTTTTCATAAAAACAAGATAGAGAGCTGCAGTTTTCATCGTTCGAAAGAGTGGATGACGATACATCGAATCGTATATTATATGTCTTTCTAGTATATTGTCTGAAGAAGGTCAAAAAACTTCAAAAATAAAAGTTGTTCGTAAAAACGTTATTTTGTAGGGTATAAGGGTGCAGAAAAAATTATGTAACATCCATCAAGCTCGTCATAAAATGAATAAACTATAGTGCGTTCGATAGCGGACATTTTTCTCTATCTAATGCACTATAAATCACAAAATCGAAAAATTTGACAAAAATTGACTTTTAGGGTGGGGAGGGGCGGCTTAAGTCAAAAACAAAATATAACTGAAGAACTTATATATCATATTATAAATACGAAATCATATATTAAAAATTATTTTGATAGAAAATTAAGTATTGAAATTCTTTTGAAAAAATGTATAAAAACGAAAGCATTTATAAATTAATTGAGTATAAATTCACTCATTCTTAGTGGTCCATTTGAATGTTTATTTCAATTAGTAAAGAATTAATTTTAAATTTTTACAATATAGATATTCTACATTTAAATAGTAAACAGAAATCATAAGCACAATCGATTTATGTAATCTAAAATTTGTAATTTTTCTTCTTATCTGTTTGCGATTTATGATAAATCTATATATATATAGTAACTAATAGTCAGTCCATTATACAACATTGAGTATTTAATCATTTACTCATTGCAGATCTTGACATATAATTTTCTTTCATAACCTCAGAAGAGCAACTACGAGAATAAAGAGGGGTGTGGGTGTGGGTGTGGGTGGTGTGAGGGTGTGGGTGGATGTGGGTGCGGGTATGGATCTTCTTTTCAACAGAACCCACACCCACACACCCACTGTGAGCTTCCTCTTTGAAATGACCTGTACCTTGCTTGCAGAGGTTGAGAGAAACTGCACAATATTAAATGTATTTGAATAGAAATAAAAACTACACAATGAAGCAAAGAACTACTTGAAAAGAATCACTGCACTAAGAATAAAACAGAATTGACCCTCAGAACCAAACACACATGTATATATGGTACATGGAAGCAGAGAGAAAACAAGAAAAAGAATGTTATTGCTGATAACATACTTTCAAAAGCAAATGTAATAAAAGAAAGGAAGCGAGAACGAGGTGATCGCTGACACCCATACACACCCACACCCTATGCGATTAATTTTCCTACATAATTTGAAGAAAAAATCTCAAAGCCTATGTAAAAACACCGACTCATTAGGAAGTATTTATTTAAAGTGCTGGAAAAAATATCGTAGTTCGAATTTCTTTTGTTTCAAATATTTTGTTAATTCGTCTTTTTAATTTGTAGAAGTTGAATATAAGTTAAGAGGAATACACCAGTAGTCATCATCGACAATGCAAAGTAATTTTTCCATAAATCCCAATTAGTCCTATAATTTAAGTCTGTTTTATTCAGAATTTCCAAGCCTGTCAATGGACAAATATTTGTAGCATTAGCTAGGCAAAATGTAATATTGTGAAATTCATTCATTATTAACATATTGGATGCGTATCGAAAGGCACTGATCCATTGAATCCATGCCAACCACTGGAATACACTTTTCAATGAGATTAGAAAACCACTGAAGATCATCATTACCAAAAAGATAAGTATGACAATGATCAAGGCAACACCTAAAAGATAACAGATAGCGACAAAATGCATATTCCTATACTACCAATTTGTTTTTCGAAGAAAATATTTCTTATCTAATTTCTAATAAAGTTAAACCATATGTTCACACTAATTTTCTAAATCAAAAGCTTACTAAAGAAGCGAACTGTAGCTGTGATAAAAAGACACATGGCTGATCCGAATAGACTTGCAAGAAAAATTGTAATAAGAAAAACAAAGAATCTACCAACATTCCGTTCTAAATCCGTCATAAAGTAAGCAATAATTGAAAATATAATTGACACAATAGTTCGTATAAATAATATATCGCATAGAAATTTAGCTAAGAAGAATGTCGATGTTCGATAATAGCCGCTGTTACTTTCCTATGGAACAAAGCAATTTTTTTCTATCATCAATTGAAATAAGAAACTCACATGAATAAATAACACACGTTCTTTAATTAATGGTTCCAATGCCGTTAATGTACTAAAGATTTGTGTTGCAACAATAACAAATATAGCACCTAAACGATCTTGTACTCCTGGATCCATGGTTTTTTCCAAATCATAATATACGAGTCCTATTAATAGGCCTATAATGATAGCAACGGCTATTTGTGACACGAATAATGCTGGATTACAACAAGTATTTTTCAATGTTCGTCGGGAAACATAATATATTTCTTTCCAAAGAGATCCTCCGAGTTTAGCTGATTTTTGATTCGTTTGTCCTTCAAAATTATCATTGATTAATTGTTTTTTTCTAAGATCTATGATATTTTTATGCATATAAGAATTTTCATAAGCTAGTCTCAATTTTCTCAATTGACCGGGCTTTTGACTCGCATCAATCAGAACATCAACCACAAAATCAGCCGGATTATCATGGTGCTCACAAAAATAACCTTGTTGAGAAAAATAACCTAATACATTTTCGGCTTGACCATAGTAAAACATTCCACCCTGATACAGGACAGTTATTGTGTCAAAAAGTTTAAATATAGAATAACGTGGTTGATGTATTGAAAAAATAATGGTATCTTGAATAAACATTTATAATTATATCGTTTGAGAAATTAATGATAAATAAATTTCGAACTTACGTCCTTGTTTTGATAGATCACTTAAACATTTCATTATTTTTCGAGCTGTTGCTGCATCGAGTCCTATTTGTAAATGATATGAAGCATTTTTTGAAAAGTTTTCAATAACTCTACAATTTAGAAAAATTATTTGAAATATTTTCCTTTGAGAATATTGCTTTTAATAGAAGAATATGTTTAGTGGAACTCACATATACTTTCAAAGATCAGAGAAAGCATAAATGTATCTCAAGGCTTTTGAACCTCCCTGGGTTCTAACAACCAAGGATGAGGGAAACCAACAGTTTTTCAGTACGTTTTTGTAGCAACAAGAAAAGGCGCGCGCGTCACTAATAACAGTGCTTAGATCAGGATGGAACGACTTTTACAAAGCATTTTATGGATCTGATATTTCCATTGCAGATTCTAACTGGTCTTAATATTTCGGGATTTCATCTTTAACCCAGCGTATGAATCTTATTGTAGGTGTCAATCAGTAAGATAGTGGTCTTATGAATCTAGCACAGTCTGAAAGGGACAGACATAGAAAAGTATGGATCAATTGAATTGTAAGTTTAGACAAACTTCAACAGTAGATGTCAAAGTTCGCTCGGAGGCTTACTGAGTGATTAAATCAATTTATACAACAAGCTAATTGGGTGACTGAACTGACGAAATGAAGAATAAAATGATATTGGCTGCTTTCGACAACATGTATCGTATATATGCATATATTATCATTAGAAGAAAAGAAGCTACGACCGAAGATGTATCTGATAATAGTAATATGTTTTTTTCAGTATAATGGTGGCGAATGAGTCCTAATAAATAAGTAGAATAAAAACTCAATTCAAAAATTTTCGGAATGATAAAATTTTAGATCACAAATATTAACTATAAAAATTGTTACCATTTTGATTTATTCATTTATGTGGCATTTTTTTAAGTAAACTATTTTAACTCCGGTAACAATATGCCTCAAAATTATAAAAGTTAGAATTTGAGAGTTTCACAGCTGCACTAACTAGTTTTTCTATAGAAATCAAGTAGAATTATAAATTTTCGATAAAAAAAAATATTGCTCGGAGTTTTTGTTATTTCAAAAGAATGAGAAATATTCTAATCAATTGATTATAGAACAAACCTGTAGTTGGTTCATCAAGAAAAAATATTTTTGGTGCTAATATCAGTTCCATACCAATACTTGCTCGTTTTCGTTCACCACCAGAAACACCTCTCTGAAATTCTGTACCAATTTTTGTCTCAGCACATGATTCGAGTCCAAGGTCAGATATAACTTTTGTTACTCGTTCTACGCGTTCCTCATAGGGTACTTCCTTTGGTAGACGAATATTTGCCGAAAACATGAGATTTTCTCGTACAGTAAGTGTATCAGAGATGATATCATTTTGAATAACATAACCGACCATATACTTAAATGAATGGGGTGGTGGTAACCCATCGACAAGAATTTGACCATGCAAACCATTATGATCCTTACGATGGGCAAGAATATCAAGTAGAGAAGATTTTCCGCATCCCGTTGGACCTAAAAATATTTACATATTGAAATTCATTATATTAATATTGTGTTATAATATGAATTCATAGTCTAATTTAATTTTGAAAATAATCCGAAACAAAATAGCACTTTGGAGTATCGAGGATTTTATTCACTCTTCTTTGTCCATATAAATTTACTGAAAAATGAAAAATATTAAGGTTTTGCGTAAAAAAATCAGTTAGGTCGAAAAAGAAAATTATGTTGTCGAGATATCATAACAACGTTGTTGTGAAAATTGGCGATGCGATGAAAAGGTCATCCACGACCACGACAGTTAAACCTAGAACTCAGATCAAATCGAGCCCTTTTCATTACAATGAAATCGATGTCGAGCTCCATTTTCAGAGGTCTTCTACTCTATCTTTTTCACAAAAACCTGAATGTTGGGTTCAGTTTAACTCGAATGTGCCAAAAATTCTTTTGAGTTCAAATGTATTCGACTGATGCTTTTAAAATTCGGTTCGGTTCGATTTCCGGTTTCACGCAATCGTAAAATCCGTTGTTGTTCCACAAGAACGAAATACATTCTCATCGGACCACGAGAGTCTTAGAAGTATTTTTTTCAAGAGATCCTTATAGGTATGCCAATTTCTATATAATGTTGATCTTATTAATGCGTAAATTAACTAATCACCTCTTTCAATTTAAAAGAAATTCGAACTGATCTAAGTTAGATTTCTTTTGATTTTGATTCGTCCAATATGTACGGATCTGCTGAAAGATTTGATGCCTTATGAAAATGGATTTTAAAAAGAAACTCAGAACACAACTTAGGCCTTAGGCAGGTGCTCAAGATTCTGCTTTTCCAAGTTCGTAGAACCTTTTGCCAAATAAACACATTTTAGAAACCTACGAGTAATTTTTTATCCAATGTCACAAAAAACTGTCGATGGAATGGTAGTCATTGTTGATATCACAAAATTGCTTTCAATTTTGTTATCCGACGTATCAGAATCAATGTTCGACTATTTCATTTTGTCATTGAAGACAAGTCAATTTCTCACATCACAGTACGCTCTTAAGGATCACGAAAGAATTTTCGTGTTTCTTTAATTCAAAATCTATAAGAATCAGTAAAAATAAGTGCGCTGATCACGAATATAATAATTGTCTTTGAAATTTATCGGACAATAGACAAGGTCTAAAGAACCTTCGAGCAGCTGTAAAAACCATTTTTCACCATAAAGTCTGTCGGAACTAATATTATTTTCGGTGAAAGTAGATTCATTCGACACCAAAAATTTGTCTTTATTACAATCTATAAGAATCCGCACGGTATATTGCTATTTTTCTATCAATGTAGGCGAAACACGATCCAGATAAAAAAGCTTTTTATTGATTCTCACTCTTCATTCCTACAGAGATATACTGCAGACATGGCATAGTAAATTAAAAATAGCCTTATGTACTCGGTATAATATAATTAATTTATGGCTCCCACCCGCTTATGTATAGTTGCAAATCTGTTTATTTTACTTCAACAACAAACGATATTGATCTACTATTAATATGTGTATGTGACACTACCCAAGTAATATTGTATGCTCTCATATCTCTCTTTCGTCTCGTGTTATGTGTAGAAAAAATAATATATGTTAGTGTTCTAACTGAAATCACTTTCAATGCCGTAACCGAAATTAGACGCGTTCAATGTCCAATTGAGTAGTAGATTTACGTCAAACATTCGAAATAGTTTGTAGATCGATGCTGAGTTCATTTTCTTATCAATAAACTCATGGTGAATAATGTCATTTCAATTAATACAGTTATCAATGAATAAACGCAGTAAAGATTCGACTGATTATAGACAGTTTTTCATTGAAGCAGTTCTTGTACATAAAATCGACTACAACTTCAAGGATTCAAACCTAATTGATCAACTAATGATTTTATTAATTGAAATACCATTACTCCCATTTACTATTATAAATAAGAATTCGATTCTGATATCGATCTATAGACCATTTAGAGTTTTAACAGACATGTATTCCTGTATCCAACATTGGATACGTACAATCTCGAATGTAAGATTTTCCTAGATCAATCCGCGATATGACGTAATTTCAGTTCGACGCTAACATGAACAAATATATATGCACAGCTCTTACCCATAATCGCATTCATTCCTGTTTTAAAAACACCAGATATATCATGTAAAATTTGTTTGACCGGCTTTTCTTTCATAAAATATGAACATATTTTTGGGCGTTGAAATTTTGCTAGTTTTTCATTCTTATTATAACTGATATTATAAAATGAAATTTCGCGTATCGATGAAAGATTTATTGAAGCTTGCAGGTATTTAAGTTGACGAGCCGTTGTAGAATTACAATGAGTAATGTCATCGATTTGATATATTGAATGTTTTGGTATTGAAACAGAAGTTACCATTTTTTCTTGTTTTCTTCGGATCATTATTGGAACTTGCAGCCGTTTCTCTAAATAGAATAATGAGAGTTGAGCGGCCTGTATTTTCTTCTATATTACTTGAGATATGGAAATTAGAGACCTGCAGAGTCAGCTTTTTTTGATTTTGAAACCCGACTCTGATTCCCATCCCGAAATTATGTACGCTGTTTGGGCTAAAAAATCATATTTTTTCTTGAAAAAAGCAAGTTTAGAGATGGTATCATCTTCAAACTCGCTTGTTTCCAAAGATAATGCTTTTTTGAATGTGTAAAAAAAAACTCACATTTTTACTCCTAAAAATGCGGTTTTTTACCAATTTTTCTGCTTGAGATGCTCTTTGTCTAAATAACCAAGAATTGATAATGTAGACCGTTGCGGTACTCCTCATAAAAAAATAATTGATAAAAAAACCGGTGAAGATCGTATTTTTCAAATCATAGAACGCATCCTGAAGATGTTTTTTACGTTCTTTTGGAACGCTTTTTCTCTCAATGGAACGCGTCTTGATTACTAGGAATGCGTTCAGAAAAAAAACGCTTTTAGGCAACAAAAACACGTTCCAAACGGACGCAAAAAGCATCTTCAGGATGTGTACGTTCTGAACCCGCTCTGGACCATCAGGACGCCATCTGCTGAAATCCGTTCTGAATCGCCAGGAACGCCTTCTTTGAGAACCCGTTCTTTTAATGGTGGTATAATGCAGTCTGAATCTTCGAGGACGTGTCTGAAGTGTTTTTTAGGGTGTGGTTGTGGGTGTGGGTGTGGATGTGGGTGTGGGTGTGGATGTGGGTGTTAATGTGTGTAAAAGGACACCCACACCCACACCCCAAAAAAACTATTTACATAAGACAAATCTAAATTATGATCCTATAAGATCATATAAGATCTTACAAGATTCCGATCATCAGATTGTGCAAGAACCTTACACTAAGATGTTTGTAGGATTTTGTAAGATCATACACTATGAATCTTACAACATCCGATATCAGTAAGATCTTGCAAGATCTTATATGATCTACGTATGATTTTTTCACCTGGGGATAGAATAAAGTATATGTTCTTCTACATTGTCTTCCATTCTATCATTTTTATCGTCACACTTAGTGCTTAACGTTTATTGTTACGCAAACGAGTCTAAAAAAACATACAGTATTAATGACTACTTTAGTTCATGCGAAGATACGGCTTCGAACGCATATATGCGCGAGCGATAGCCAAAGGGTTAAGGTTACTCATATTTTCATTCATATCATTTAGTTTTATTTTTCTATGTATACGATACATTTTCATGATCAAAGAATCTACTATTACCTTTCTTTTTTGCTATTCTGTTTAGCGAAGCATGTCCTTGCGAATTACTTTCGCCGTAGATTGACAACATCGTTATTTATCTAAAAATCCTTTTAATAAACATAAATGTATAGATTGTTCGCTTGCTTTTTATTCTATTGTTTTGAAAAGAAAGAGAACAGTGATGGCTGATGACTATATCATATAGTAGATTGTGCAAACGAGCCTTAAATGTCGTAAAATATCACAAACGAACACATGGCTCATAAACATTTTCTTCATTAACGCACAAAACCTAGTGCATTGAAAGGTAGGATCAATATTGGACTGTTATAAATTGCTCAGGATCCCAGAAGATTGTAAATCATTTTATACAATTTAGTGTCATAAGTCACCTTTTTTAATATAAAAACAATCGTAAAGTATAGATTAACTATCGCGTTTTGAAATTTAACAGAATGTGTGAAAACCAAGCTTTATTAACATATTCAAACAAATCTGATGATGATGATAATAATAAGAATCAGTACAAATCATCGATGTATGTAATAAAATTAATTATTGAATTAGAGTAAACACTCATTTAATTTTTAGGTTCTCAAAATTTATCTGTTTTTTTCGTCGTCATAAAAAAGCTTCAGAAGATGAAAATGATGCTCTTGATAATTCTAATCATGAGTCAATCATTAAATTTATTCAATTAGTAAATATTCTGATCTCATGAAACATCAAAATTAATAATTCTTTTATTTTTTTATTTTTTTAGTTTAATTTTTCTGATCGTATTGATATGTTATTGCTGTTCATCGGTTTATTGTCGACAATTTTACATGCTATTTGTATTGTTATTCATAATGTACTGTTCGGAAGATTAACAGGTGATTTTATCACGACACCATTCTCGAATGGTTGTCAATCTTTAATGAAAAATTTATCACTATTAAATCAAACAAACTTCATCTGTCCATTTGGTATTGAACTAAATGAATCTAATTATCATCGATATCATAAGTACTTCATAACTTATTTATGGATGTCATTTATTTCTTTGTTAATAATTTGCCATAGATGTTGTACTGATAAGAATATGCTCTTGAAATCAACGATGTCAACATTTCGATCAGATACTAATAATAAAATTCTCTGTCTATGGAGTAATTTTATTTCAATTAATAATGAAAACAAAATATTTTTTTATATTTAGTTATTGGATGTATCGAACTCGTACTTGGTACTGTACAATATTATACATTTACAATAAGTGCTAAACGGCAAACATCTCGCATTAATATTCTTCTTTTTCAATCACTTATTGGCAGAGTATGTGAAATTTAAATACATTATTTCATATTGTGAAAAAAGCCAATCAATCATTTGCAAAAAATTATATCATTATAATAGGATCTTCAAAATTACTTTTTGATAAGGATATTACTTCATAGATGAAATGTTTTGTCTTGCTTTTTAATCTGCGTTACCTTCATACAAAAGGCAAGAAATGCTATCCAGATAGGTTTAAACTCGAACGCAATTTTACTTTTGAAAGAAACTTAAATAGAAACCTATTGCACATACTTCATTATGATCATTTTAGAACAAATTACCTATAACTGGAGAATGACTACAGTACATTTCCCTAATTCTGTCGGAAAATTTTTACTATTTTTTGTTTCAACTAGTGTGCAACTATTTTACATCCGATCAAAAATATTTTTATATTTAGGTAATCTTTGGATTCTCCTCTTTCAAACGATATATTGTTGATCTTTCATTTTTCATGTTTTCATAGTGAAATTATCGGTCTACGAAAAATACTCGCATCTGACAGAATTAGGTGGTAGTTCCCTAATCCTGACGACCAGCAATAAAATTTTCCTAATTATGACGCCTCTAACAATTTACATAGAAAAACTCCATTTTAGAAAAGAACCTATTTTTTTCATTTTTTTTATGAGAAATGGAGGGGAGATGTCTGAGACAATTTTGTAGAGCGCATCAAGCTCTATCATAGTTTAAAGGTTCAAGACAACTGTATTTTCATTTATCAAGATACAGACCTTGGAATGAACACACCCAGAGGTAGCGGGAAAAAAGTTGTTCCTAATTCTGATAGCCAGCTATTTTTTGTCTCTAATTCTGACGGTAACTGTTTTTATCCTTATCTATGACTTTTCAGTCATTTTTTGTCTATAATTACGACGGTAACTTTTGTTTTTGTCCTACATGATAACAGTTAACTATTCCTGTGATGATACTTTATTACAAAATTATCATAGATCTATGATAATTTTGTAATAAAGTATCATCACAGGAATAGTTAACTGTTATCATGTAGGACAAAAACAAAAGTTACCGTCGTAATTATAGACAAAAAATGACTGAAAAGTCATAGATAAGGATAAAAACAGTTACCGTCAGAATTAGAGACAAAAAATAGCTGGCTATCAGAATTAGGAACAACTTTTTTCCCGCTACCTCTGGGTGTGTTCATTCCAAGGTCTGTATCTTGATAAATGAAAATACAGTTGTCTTGAACCTTTAAACTATGATAGAGCTTGATGCGCTCTACAAAATTGTCTCAGACATCTCCCCTCCATTTCTCATAAAAAAAATGAAAAAAATAGGTTCTTTTCTAAAATGGAGTTTTTCTATGTAAATTGTTAGAGGCGTCATAATTAGGAAAATTTTATTGCTGGCCGTCAGGATTAGGGAACTACCACCTAATTCTGTCAGATGCGAGTATTTTTCGTAGACCGATAATTTCACTATGAAAACATGAAAAATGAAAGATCAACAATATATCGTTTGAAAGAGGAGAATCCAAAGATTACCTAAATATAAAAATATTTTTGATCGGATGTAAAATAGTTGCACACTAGTTGAAACAAAAAATAGTAATAATTTTCCGACAGAATTAGGGAAATGTACTGTATAGCTGTATAAAATAGAAAGAATATGTATTGAACTCATTCCATAATTTTATGTGTCGAGTCAATTTTAGTAAACGTACATAGAATCTATAATTCAATTTATCTATTCCATTCATTTTTTTCTTAAATAATATTAAGGGAATCTTTGGTTTTACTAAATCATTTTTAAAAGTATGAATGAACAAGTAACGTTCATCGTCAAGCGATTCACTTAGCCCTAGACTGATAGAATGCATGTACGTATGTAACAGCATAAAAAGCTACATTAAAAAAGTAATACGCAAAAATTGGTAATATGACCAGTATATCTTAGGCGACCAGAAAACTTAATTTGGAGAATTCTCACTCTAATGGTTGCATTTCCAATCAGCTGCAAAATAAGCATAAGATACATCCATTTTTTCTTCGATATATTCTTCCGTGAAAGTTTCGCCAGAGATTATACAAAACTTCATGCCAAGTTTAAGCTTCCAGCAAAGATACTTTTTCATAAACTTGTAACAAGTTTCAAGCATATCAGTAAGTTGATCGAAAGGGATAATCAAATAGCTTTTCGAAAAAGTTACTGACTTAATAAAATTTTACTCATAATTTTTTCCCTAGACTGAAAGGCTAGGGTCTAGAAACCGAAATTCACCTGTGTCTGTCTGTCTGTCTGTCGGTAACGCGGTCAAAATGGCCATTTTTTTGGCACATGTGACCATTTTTTTGGCACAAACGACCATTTTTTTACTAAAATTAACTAGGTAACTATGGTACAAATGAGCATGTAACTATGGCACAAACGGTCATTTTTTGGTACAAACGACCACGTAACTATGGCACAGGTGACCATATAGCAACCATGGTACAAACAACTATTCCGGTAACTATGGCACAGATGACCATATAGCAACCATGGCACAAACAACTATTCCGGTAACTATGGCACAAATGACCATATAGCAACCATGGTACAAACAACTATTCCGGTAACTATGGCGCAGATGACCATATAGCAACCATGGCACAAACAACTATTCCGGTAACTATGGCACAAATGACCATATAGCAACCATGGTACAAACAACTATTCCGGTAACTATG